GCTCTTTTCCCGAACAGCGGCTGGTAATCGAGCCTACTTTTTCAGCTGCTAACCATTAATTCTTGATTGAATATGTAAAGTGATAATCACCTAAAACATGATAATTCCGGCTGGATCAGTGTCGTTATCAGTAAAGGATTCACAACTTCACATTTAGTCTTAAATTGCTTTATATTTTTGTCACACTGAGGTCATTACTTTATTTAGATTAATGGTGTTGAAATTAAAACAATAGGCGCGAAAATGGTGTTTTGGCTCAACTGTATTACATTGCATGCAAGTACAGAATCACATCAGCGATAACTCATCAAAGTCTATATTTTTTAATTTTCGCAGCAAGCTAGCGAGGACATTGTATGAAAATCGCTTTACAAAACAAAGATTAGAAGTTGTTTTGTCTTTTCCAGAAAATGCTTTAGACCACTCCAATTCAATTTAATGTGACCTAAGGCAAAATCAACATAAATTTATCCTAATAAATTTTGATTCATTTGCAAAATAAAAACCCTTGCTGTTACCAAACAGCGGGGGTCGTTTGTTGTGAAGTACAATCCTATTTTGGTGTTGTGCTCATACAGGAAACTAGTCAACAATACGAGTTTATAAGGTCGTGACCACGGGCGGTGATATTAGCCAAGACTTGAGAACGGATTTGGGTAAGGTTACCTCATACGTGTTAATACTCCTCAATATCAGTGTGAACGTTCGTGCCTCTGAAATGGCGACGCATAATTCTTCAGATCCGAACTATGATTTTTATCTGACGATAATCGATGACAAGGCATACTGGCTGTGTTTAGCTGTGGTGGGATTCATTCTGGCAATAGTTATTATCGTAGGAAACTCCATTCTACTCTTCACGACGTACAGGGACCCTCGAAGGACACTACGTACTCCGCCGTCTTTCCTGATCACGAATTTGAGCGCGTCAGATTTACTGCTGGGATTATTCAACGTTGTTCTTGTGGCTTTGAGAGATGTCTATCGGTCTCGACTTGAACATATGCCTCACGCTATGGCGTTTAAGGCAATCATGTACACAGTGTTTACTTCAACTATTTTCGCGAGCGGCTATTCCATAATAGCCATGGCATCAACTTGTTATGTCGCCATCAACAAACCGATGGAATATAAAACTATTATAACCAAGCGAAGAGTCAAGATTTTTATTGCAGTTTTATGGGTGATATCTCTAGCGACCTGTGTTCTACCTGTGACAAATGTGTCCGAGAAGACATACACGCTAATTTACCTACACACTCACGCTTCGCTGCCCGCCATCTTGTTGACAGTCATATATGTGAACGTGTTTCGCGCTCTCGCGAGACGAACTCGAGAACTTGAGCTCGGCGGTTACAACTCAATAGCGAGTAATTCTCTGGAAAGGAAGCGAAATATGGCTGTCACGATTATAATAATTCTTTCGCTGTTCTTCATCAGTTATATGCCTCAATACATCACACTTCATCTGCTGTACTTCTGCGAATCTTGTCAAAGCTCGATAACTTTCCACAAGATTGACGTGGCATTGTCTCGCTTTTTGTACATTAATTCTGCGATAAATCCTTTTGTGTACGCTTGGAGAGTGCCCAAGTATCGTCGAGCGTTTAGCGACTGTTTGCAGATTCTGTTCTGTAGAGCGAGAACTAGATCTCACGGAACAAGTTCGAAATATTCAAGCACAAAGCAAAGTGAAAGAGGCGGTCCTGGAAGATTTTTACGGAACAAGCCAAGGGGCTTAAGCGAACCAACTGCAAGTGAAATGACAAGCTTTTAGACTTAAATCTGATATAACAAATACCCTTAAGGCAGTCGAGCGACCTTTTGACCTATTAAGTAATATAATTTAAGAAGCTACATCAGGTAACATCTGATCGCCGGAGGAAAACAGCCGTTATAGTGCAGAAGTTACCATAAAATTTCACCCTCTAATTTGATTTAATATATGTACGTCTGAAAGAAAACCTCTAATAATCAAGAGGTTTATCTTAACTGAGAGTATACCATTTTTAAGAGGTGTAACGTCAGCAATATTAAGATAAGATAGGAATATGTTATTCCATCATGACTTTTGAGTATAGTTAATGCTTGTGTGGTCGTGCTAACACTAATGTCGAGAAAGACTGCAAAGAAAAACAGTGGATTAAAATTTTAAATCAAGACACCCAGCGGAAATCTTTAAGGGCCCATTAACCGATCTTTTTGAGCCGTTGCTAGGGAAAATTTAGTCTCATATAGCCTCATCATTTTTAGTTAGTTCAGAGTTATTTCATGTGTTTTAACTTTTTCCTGATCAGTAACACTAGTGATGACGTCATCAGGCCACGCCCATGGTCAGGTGACTAATACAGAAAAAATGCAAAGGCTCCCAGGCAAATTACTTTCCCGGGATTTTTTTCATTGATTTCGTATTTTAATTTAAATCCTCATTACACTATGCATCGATTTTGTTTAATTTCTAAAAGATCAGATTTTGAGAGCATTTCGAAATATTGAAAAATTCGTAATTTTCTGAAAAAAGCATGATTTCGAAAAAGGAATGCATAGCTATGTTTCCANTATATGAAATAATTCATATTTGAACTGCGGTAGTAGATGAAAGTGAAGTATGATCATCGCAGTAAATTTTCCAATTTAAGCAACTGGAAAGAAGAAGCTTCTGGCTTCTTCTTTCCAGTTGCTTAAATTGGAAAATTTACTGCGATGATCATACTTCACTTTCACTTTGTAGGTCCGTCAATAAATTGGTCAGAATAGATCATTCATCGAAATATTGAATTCATCGAGGCTTTAGCAATTCGAACTGTTTTGAATCCATAGCAATACTGAATTATTTGAACTTGAAGTCATCGAAGCTTAAATAGGTCACTGTTTACAGACGATCCAAGTTCCAACTTCTGGCTTTGATTAGTTCGTTCAGAGTTATTTCATGTGTTTAACTTTTTCACGATCAGTAACACCAGTGATGACGTCATCAGGCCACGCCATTGGTCATGTGAATACTGAAAATATGCAAAGGCTCCCAGGCAAATTACTCTATCGCAATTTTTTTCATTGATTTAATATTTTAAATTTAATCCTCATCACGCTATGCATAGATTTTGTTTCATTTCTGAAAGGTCATAATTTTGAGAGAATTTCAAATTATTGAAAAATTCGTAATTTTCTGAAAAAAGCATGATTTCGAAAAAGGAATGCATAGCTATGTTTCCAACGTTGGCTTTAATCGAAACACGTCGAAAAAGGCTGGATCTAATGAAAAGCCGCCTTTCCTTTACCAGTGAAAGAAACCGGAAGTGAGCCCGATATATATTGGAAGTTACCCTATCAGCGCGTGCGCAATTTACACTACCAGTGCACTTCGGTAAGATCGGACAAAGTGGCACGGAGTTAGTTTTTCTCTTTCTTTTGCTCTTGTTTTTCTGTTTTTCTTTTATTTTGTCTTTGCTTGTACTTTTTTTATTTTGCATTTGTGAAACACAAAGAAAACTCATCTAAAATGGAAGCGAATTTCCAAGTTATTGAGTTGTTTTTAATTTCCGCGCTCAGGCTGACGTAAGTAACCGATTTCACTTCCTTAGCAACGCGCGCGAGCGTGCGCACGAATCGGTTAATGGGCCCTCAGGCTGAAAATATAGTTGTTTCCTTTATCTTAAGACACGACCACAGACAACTTTCTTGATAGTGATTTCATTACGTGTAAGCATCTCCCTCAATATTCTGTTGACCTTTCAGACAAGGATACAGTGCAATTGCATGACTTGCTGGCCGAGAAGACAGCAAGAATCAAATCGGCTTCACATGGAACGTCAAGACGTACATCCGTTTTGTCCATTTGATGTTACATTACTTGGCCAAGACGGAAAAGAGTTCAAGGCTCACAGAAATGTTTTGGCTGAAGCGAGTCCTTTCTTTGAAAAGCTGCTACAGAGTGACATGAAAGAGAACAAAGAGGGAGTCATACGTCTGGAAATGTTGACTGAATCGCTCTTGCAAGAAATTCTGGAGTTTATTTACAGCGGCAATGTTCAGATATCGAGTGAAGAAAATGCCAAAGAATTGATCACGGCAGCAGATTATCTATTTTTTCCAAACCTGAAGAAGATTGCTGGGAGATTTCTTGAGTGCAGCATGACCATTTTAAATTGTATTTCAACTTATCATTTTGCAGAAATGTATCGATGTGACGAGCTTGTCGTCAAAGCCAGAACATTCATTGAATCGAACTTTGCCTGTGTCGCCAAATCAGGAGAGTTTTTGAATTTGACAAGTCAGGAAGTGGAAGAGTGGATTTCAAGTGATGAAATTGTCATTAACAGGGAAGAAGACATTTTTATTATCATACTTGGATGGATAGCGAAAGAGCGGAAGTCGAGAATCGGAAAATTTGAAGAGCTGTTTCGTCACGTTCGACTTATTTTTGCGTCGCGTGACTTTTTACTTAAAGAGCTCGTGACCAACGATTTCGTGAAACAAAATGGGTCATGTAAGAATCGCGTGACGCAGGCTATGAATTGGTTCGATGGCTCAACGTCTTGTGATCCTCTATCGCCAAAATCACCAAGAAAAGTATTTGAGGCACATGTCTTGGTGGTTTATGGAGGGAACAGCGTTGCCTGTTATCTTCCTGGTGAAGATAAGTGGTATCAATTACCAGAGAACCCTGCGCGAGAATCATCCGAAATTATTGCACACGAAGGGAAACTTTTTGCTATCACAGAACGTCTTCACAAGGCGGAATGCTACGAACCTCTTCGTAATAAATGGACTTCATTAGCACTGACAAACAGATTGGAGTTTATTGATATTAATAAAGGCGCGGTAGGCGGCGATTGCATTCTTGCAGCAAATGGCGCGATTTATGCAGTAGTAGTTTCAAGAAACATGCCGAGTGAAGACTACCGAACCGAGTTTGCAAAGTACAATATGGCGTCACGTTCATGGCAATTTTTACCATGTCCTTTTCTGGCGGGAAAACATGGTGTGTGTGCCGTCGCCTTCAACAAGTACATCTACGTTGTGGGAGGTTATGGAGGTAATTTTTGGACAGACCAATTTGAGTGGAATGACGCTGCGAGATTTGACACGGAAAACAGCGCATGGGAACAAATAGCCACGCTACGAGAGGCGCGAGCCGAGGCGTTTGGTGCAGCTGTAAACGGAAAAGTCTACATCGCTGGTGGAGTGAAAATAACAATTGTGTTAACAAGTTGCGAAGTGTACAACGAGATGACAAATGAATGGAGCTTTATTGCATGTTTGACAGTTCCTCGCGCCAGTGGGAATATGGCTTGTGTGGATGGCACGTTGTATGTGCTAGGTGGAACCACAGACCGGGGAATTCGTCGGTCTGCAGAACCAAGTCTTACTGTAGAGTGCTATGACCCTGAAAAAGACAGATGGCGCAAGAAAACCACTTTGCCGAGGCTTGTTCCTACTTCTGAAGAAACATTGTTGAACGGCGGCTACCGGGCTTGTTCTGCGAAACTGCTTAAAGGATTCTTAACGACGGAATCGCCTAAGAGACGGCACGTTCGACACTGTTGCATCGCTTGATCAGAGGAATCTACGAACATCCGGTACAGCGGCATTGCCTACTGGTTTTCTCGGGCGAGACTTTTTAAAAATTCATGCAGTAGACTACTCGATGTATGAATCACGGATCGTTTGAAACACTATGTAGAAAAGTATACTTAAACAAATTAACTTTCTTGTTTCGTTTTTTGTGGGTGTGTTTGTTTGTCTTGATAACAATAAATCGTTTTCACGTGACGTCATCACTTTCCAAAATCCAAAACGAAAGAGCCACCAAAGTTTTTATCCTCATCAGGTATAAGAGGCGGTATATTTATATCTGTTTACAATTTTACAGCTCAATAGCGTGTTTCGTTTGGAAACCAGAGCATTACTTTGCTAAACTGCCACGCTATCTCCCATGGCTATCCAACAGTCAAGGCCAGCCCACTGTTGGATAGCCATGGAAGATAGCGAGACCAGCACACCAACAAACAAATAATAAACAAATTCAGTTTCTCGACAAAGCTATTCCCGGATACCGATTAACTTTAAATTTTATTTTATTCTCCAAGCTTTTAGTTTATTGCAGCCCATCTGAGCAACAAAGCAGTCGAGTCAGCAAGCCCACTTCGGAGGTGTAGAGCACCTCAGTGTTTTTCTGGACGTATTCTTTACGTCAGTTCGGACACACATTTGATTTTCTCTTTCTGCCATGTGGGACGACTACCCTAGAGAACACATGAGGTATATGAAGGGATTCTGATTCCTATCAACCAATCAGAAGCTGCCACATCAGCTAGACGTCATACCATGACGTCACGTTTCTCAGCAACAACCCCGCTGAAAACCGGTGGTGCATTCAATTCTTGAAGACAGTGTTCGCATTGAACAAAGTACTTGGACTGGTTTTCAGATGGTTCATGATTCCTCCGTAGGAAGTGTCGAACTGATATTGTCCGTAGTTGACAAGTCGTCATCTATTTCCTCTCCATCCACTTTGGGAGTAAACAACTCCACGTCAATGGGATTGCGGAGGCCTGAAGAAAGAAAATATACTCCGTTTAACTTGGTCGACTGGTTCGTAAACGTTGTTAGTTTCTAAAGAAACTATAGTGTTGCGTCTGTCAAGTGAGGCACTTAGCTATTTTTTAACTTGAAGATGTTAAAGGGAATAAACTACTGTGGTGAGTTTTAAAAGCGTTTGCCTTCGACCAAGCTCTCAGTCACTTTTCAATCCCTTTGCACTGACGAGGGGCTTAAGTTCGAAACGTCAGCTTTACAAACTCGCTCCTTTTAGTTTCCCTTGACAACCTCAAGTTTCTACATAGCCGTGTGGTAGAGGTGCTGTTCGTGTAATCCGGATATCTAGCCGATAACTAGGGTCCTGGTACTAGTTACATCTGGTCTCGGTTGTCCCTTGTCTAACGCTTTGGTCATTCCCTGTGTATTTTTATCCACAGCACCGCAATCTGTAAGCTTTAAATACGAAATGTGTACAATTAAGTTGGCGGACCTTTTAACCAGAAGGCCACGTAGTAACATTGTGGCATCGGCGATAGTCATACCGGTAGGGGGATTTTAGAACATAGTCAAAGCTAATTGCTTACGAAGTGCTTTTTCCACAAGACTCCTGTGCTGCTTCTCTTCCCTTTTAAATTTGGCCTGAAAAGTGACAAAGTATAATCTCTGATTAAGTGACTATGGGGAAAGAAGGGAAGGAGGGGTGGGTGGGGGAGAATGGGGGGGGGGAGAGAAAAAGATAGGGGGCTAGAGCGCATAGCCTTGAGGGAGAAAGAACACAAGACTGCGAAAAAACGAACCTGTGATGTGATACGCTCAGCTTTAAATTCGCCGTAGCCTATTAAGTGTTTATACACCTCGGCAAAGAAGGGCATTGTGAGAGTACAGTGTCTTGCCCAAGAACACAACACAGTAATACCGGACAGGTTCGAACCCAAACAGCTCGGCCCGGAGTGCATTAACCGTTCTTATAATCCATCAAACATTTTCGCTCGCGCGCCATTGGTCTAAACGCGTCACGTGACCGAATATTCCCCGAGAATATTCCCCAATTTTCGAAACTGCGCGTGTTGCGAAAAATATTTGACGGATAATAAACACAATAACCTCCACTTGACTTTTTACATATACACACTCGACACTGATTTCTTTCGTTGCTAAGAAAAAAGACTAAAATAACCACACCTTAAGCTCCCTTCTTTTTCTGTTGGGGAATAGTGGCCCCATGAGACTGAAATCGGTTCCAACTTGACTGAGCGCCTTGTAAAATTTCTGCGTTTCTAGAGACAAGAAAACAGTTTTTTTTTTCCAGAAACCTTCATAAGTATGGAATATTTGAGCAATAGAACACAAGTTTTTATGGTACGACAGTCAGTAAACCATGTGAAATACTTCAATAACACGGGCGAGAGAACGTACAAGATATTTCTACAAATACAGGGCTCGATAGACGAGCATTTAAATCAACGAGCATTTCAATCAAATGGACGGATACCATGTCTAAATAGAGCTTTGTCAACGTTCGTTACCATGAGCCTAAAGAGCAATTTGAGTGATTTAACGAAATCGCCGTCAATTGCACATTTCTTACGTGAAAACCTCCTTAATTTGTTCTGCACGAAATTTTGGCGTTACTGCCTACCACCAATCCAAAACAATGGCATTTAATGGGCTCATCCCTATCAATGTTTCTTTGTCACGCGTTGCTTTTTCACGCAATCATTCCTGTCTATGTAACGTACCCTCAAGTGTCCATCGCTCCACTTTCCTATGCTTCAAATAAGCGCCAAAGCTCACTGCGTCAGCATCCTCATAGAGAATTTCACTGCAGTGAGATACATAGAGCTCACATTAAACAGACGTTTAACAGGAGACGACATGTTAGAAATACAAATGGACAGGAAACAGAGCTTTATTCCAAACCAATAACTGTCAATATAGGCACGTAGGGCGTACATAGAAATACAGCGCCTCACCTATCATCGAGGGTATTTTCAGGTGACTTGGGAATTACAAGGCTGCAAAAGAACAGAAACTTGAACATGTGCTTGCCTCAAGTTAGTAAAAACTAAGTTAAATTCACCTCTTAGCCTTCCCAAACCTCTGACAAGTTCATACTGTTTATAACTCCGTGAGTATTCTTTCATCTTTGCTGTTTTGGTGTCTCCTTTGCGACAAAAGTTAGACACTTTCATTTCACAAGCAACATTGGTTGGAACATTTAACTGGACAATGCACCTTGTAAGTCTGTTATCAGAATTTATACATTCAAAATGACAGCTTGATACTACACTATTTTGACCCAATGAAGTCGCTCACATTTGAAGTCGCTCACTGCTAGAAAATTTCACGTCTTATTTTTCATTAGCCTGAATTTGTATTTCTCTATGCATCGTTTATGTATCGTTTTTGAGGTGAACTAATTGATCAAAATTTCAACCAAAAGTTCATCCAAATTGCGACAAAAGCTATCTACATTTAATATAAATCTACTGACGTTCTCTGATCGGCTACGCTACTCACTATCTCTTCTTTTGTAGACAGTGAGTACCTTAGCACTTCTTTACGTTTTCGAAGTGCCTGTAAAGAGGATTTAGATAAAGTTTTGAACGACTAGTAGATTTATACTTAAACAATAAGATTATTCGCTGTCGACTGCGCCGTCGTCAACTATCACGCGACAGAAATCTCAAGCTCATAATCTAATTATTAAGTAGTACAACGAATAAAATTAAGTGGATTTGGTTAGCATCATCTCTGCACAGTACCAGAGTTGAACACAGAGTAACTGTACCTTTCCTCGTCCAAGATTATACTTCCATCAGCGGCAAGTTTCACACGCGGTGCAACAGCTGCACCATCGACACTGTCTTTATCCACACTGGGTTCTTGACTCTCTGTTCGCTTTGTTTTAGCTGGCGATCCACAAATGGACGCTGGGTTTCTAACAGAGCCTGTCTCTTCCTCGGACTCTTTGTCCCTACAAAAGAAACGCAGCTTTTTAAAAGTGATTTCAAAATTCCGTAGAGGAGTCAAGGAGTGCAAACATGATGGTTTAGTCATGGAACAACCTACTGGCCGTGTGATCTATGACTGATAGCATCATTAAATGAAAAATTGTTCCCAATGTATAAGGAAATAATTTACAAAAAATTACGACTAAATTTACAATTGACACACTCCGCTATTGCCTCGTGTGCTACTTTTTTGTTCTTACCATATTTTGACGTCATCTGTGATCTATTACTGAACAGACGTACAGAAACATAGAATCTATTTGTTGATCAGAAATGTGATTGTCCTTGGGACAAGCAATGATCTACTTTACTTTTCCTGGACAATAAGACAGGTTTTGGCACACCCTGCAAACGTGTTACGCAGTACCATTAGTGATACCAAACTTACCGTGAATTATCTGTGCCTTCTTTCTGTTTTTTGCTTTTGTTTTTTCCATCTGCCTTCTTCTTCTTTTCGGCCAGACTTGATCTACAAACAATGTAAACAAGCTGTATCAAAGAGAAACTTTCATTATATATTATAAGGTTACAAACAAGATTTTGAGAAATTGAAATATCCATGCTTAGATCTTTAATTTTTGACAAATGGCATGAACCCAGCAGCTAGTGAGGAAATGGATTGTAAATGTCAAAACTTGAATGCATGGTTTTATTTGGGGGAGGGCCACAATATAATTAAGAAAGGAGAAATCGAATGGTTATGAAACCCAACAAAGTTCTTTGTTGTATGTTTTTGTTTGCTTTATTGACCTTTACCATGTACAAAACACATTTGGTGTTTGCTTCTGACTAAGAAACTAGCCAATAGGAACATTTTGGTTATGTAATTCATGCATAGTGTACAGGCGCAGAACAAAAGATCGTGCACGGTTGTTGTCCTTCCAACACAAGTAGTGGCATCTTTGTTTGCTCCTTTGATGTTTGCCAAGCTTCATAACCATTCCCCACCATTCACTTTGCGGAGGCCTACTGGCCTCAATTAATACAAGGGAAAGCAAATGGTTATGAAACCCAACAAAGTTATTTGTTGTGTGTTTTTGTTTGCTTTATTGACATTGACCATGTACTAAACACATTTGTTGCTTACTACTGACACACGACCCCACACACGACCACTCTCATGTGGCATTGATAGCTCACGTGCGAGAGCATTGCACCAGTAATGCAAAAGTCGTGGGTTCAAATCCCGTTCAAAGCCTGAAAATTTTTTCAGGTCTTTTTTTCCAGTAATGTTATGGCTGCATTCGCATCTATCATTGTGCCTACTGTTAGACTTAAGCATTTGATTGTTGTGCAAAAAGATTGATTAGTGATGATTAATCACAGGTTTTAATAAAAGCTGGCAACCAGAACAATTCACCATATACAGGACCAAGCAAATTAAGCTTGTACTTGACACCTCTCTGAAACTGAAAACTTCGAGACAAAATCTAACTGTTACCAGTTTTAACCAAATGGTTAAAAACTAATAATGATTGAAATCTCTGTATTAATGATGGCTTACGTCATGGGGTTGGTCTTGGGATTGAAATAGATCAAGTGTTGCATGGTCATGTGACTTGGATCAGAAGGTTCTTTTAGCTTATGGGGTCTGCCACCTCTCTTTCGCTTGAGGCCCTGCAAAGAAAATTACAATTCTGATCTGTTACACAGTAGACCAACATGCTAACTGACAGTGGGTGTGGGAGGAGCTGGCACACCAAGCTTAAGCCTGACCTGTTCATTCCCTCTTGCGGAGTCTTTGATTGCTACCTCACATACATAGTTACATGTAACAACAGTCCATTGGACACTTGAGGGTAGGAGAAAGCATGGACAATCAAAGGCAATTTGTAGGAGGAGCATGAGTGAGGATGGTCAAAACTGAGTTGAGCACCCGAAATTGCATTGAGAGAAAGGCACATGAGAGACAGGGGTAGCGCTGACGGCCGTACAGGGCAGTAAGTAAGTAAACACACAGTTGCTAACTACGCTTATTACTCTAACAGTGAAATTGGATCAATTACTAACTGACATGTAGCCAGTGAGACTGCAGGCCAAGTGGGCATAGTCTAACACGAAACTCCATAAAACATTGGCAATGAAAAATGCTGTTATACAAGAAGATGCTATTAAAAACCTGAAAGAATGTTTAATCCTGGAGTAGTTGTTAATTGGCTTTCAAACAACCCGACCCTGCAGATGGCTGTATTAAAATTGTGCCACAGCTGCTTAAATGATTATGTCCCTGCTTAATGGTACACAAGGGAATGATCACTGTATTTTCTTTGTTTAGGATCACTGGGTAGTTGTAGTGAATTATGCCATCTTGTGTACTGGTACAATAAACACAAACAAAACAACTTAAGAGGCAACTATATAAAACACTCAGCCTCGTGAAAAAGAGCATGCCATTTACACTATGTACAGTACTAGCAAGAGAAGGACAAGTTCAGTGTGGTACCTTTTTCTTATTATCTTCTTCATCATCATCATCATTGTCGTCGTCCTTGCCATGACAATCTGGTATAGCAGCATGAGGCACTGCATGATCAGCGTTTTTTTCACCCTCTGATAAAGTACACAATCTCTTGTTTCGGCTTCCACCCCTCTCTACAGAACTTTGGTCCTAAAATGATTAAATATGAGATAAGATTGAAAAAGGTTAAATATTATACACAAGCTGACTTCACTGACTACACAATTCAATAAAATTTAAAGTAGGCAACCGGTAGTTTGAGAGAAGATGCAGACTGTAAACAACAACAGGGGGGTTCTCGGGTCATGCTCCCTCAGTTGAAATCTGGAAGCCCTGAAATGCAACTTCAGGGCAGTGTTCTGGGCAGCAAACTAAGTACAAAAAAATGAAGCAGAACATGAAGGAAAATTTTTCATCAACAGTAGCATTTATGAACATGAAGGAAAATTTTTTATCAACAGTAACATTTATAATTATTATTTTAATAAAGAAATTTACAAGCCTAGTTTGTTTTCTCTTCCACAGTGTCGCATTGCTAGAACTCTGCCGTTTGAAAGCCCTGTTATTATTTTTTCTGAGCTGATATCCCAGAAGAGCAAATTATTTTACTTGAAATTGGATTAGTAAAAACAAAGTGATGTGTATGTTGGCAGTAATGCTTCTTTGTTGCATATTAAAAGCCACAATATACAGCCAGTATGAGAGAATAAGAAATCATCTCCACCTTGAAAGCATTAGGCATTCATAAGGCACATGTTTGTTGTCTTGAACAAGTTCATTAACTTCATTCACAAACTAACAAAAGTAGTGAACAATCTCCAAGCTCGTNAGCATCATTAAATGAAAAATTGTTCCCAATGTATAAGGAAATAATTTACAAAAAATTACGACAAAATTTACAATTGACACACTCCGCTATTGCCTCGTGTGCTACTTTTTTGTTCTTACCATATTTTGACGTCATCTGTGATCTATTACTGAACAGACGTACAGAAACATAGAATCTATTTGTTGATCAGAAATGTGATTGTCCTTGGGACAAGCAATGATCTACTTTACTTTTCCTGGACAATAAGACAGGTTTTGGCACACCCTGCAAACGTGTTACGCAGTACCATTAGTGATACCAAACTTACCGTGAATTATCTGTGCCTTCTTTCTGTTTTTTGCTTTTGTTTTTTCCATCTGCCTTCTTCTTCTTTTCGGCCAGACTTGATCTACAAACAATGTAAACAAGCTGTATCAAAGAGAAACTTTCATTATATATTATAAGGTTACAAACAAGATTTTGAGAAATTGAAATATCCATGCTTAGATCTTTAATTTTTGACAAATGGCATGAACCCAGCAGCTAGTGAGGAAATGGATTGTAAATGTCAAAACTTGAATGCATGGTTTTATTTGGGGGAGGGCCACAATATAATTAAGAAAGGAGAAATCGAATGGTTATGAAACCCAACAAAGTTCTTTGTTGTATGTTTTTGTTTGCTTTATTGACCTTTACCATGTACAAAACACATTTGGTGTTTGCTTCTGACTAAGAAACCAATAAAGTTATTTGTTGGGTGTTTTTGTTTGCTTTATTGACATTGACCATGTACTAAACACATTTGTTGCTTACTACTGACACACGACCCCACACACGACCACTCTCATGTGGCATTGATAGCTCACGTGCGAGAGCATTGCACCAGTAATGCAAAAGTCGTGGGTTCAAATCCCGTTCAAAGCCTGAAAATTTTTTCAGGTCTTTTTTTCCAGTAATGTTATGGCTGCATTCGCATCTATCATTGTGCCTACTGTTAGACTTAAGCATTTGATTGTTGTGCAAAAAGATTGATTAGTGATGATTAATCACAGGTTTTAATAAAAGCTGGCAACCAGAACAATTCACCATCTACAGGACCAAGCAAATTAAGCTTGTACTTGACACCTCTCTGAAACTGAAAACTTCGAGACAAAATCAAACTGTTACCAGTTTTAACCAAATGGTTAAAAACTAATAATGATTGAAATCTCTGTATTAATGATGGCTTACGTCATGGGGTTGGTCTTGGGATTGAAATAGATCAAGTGTTGCATGGTCATGTGACTTGGATCAGAAGGTTCTTTTAGCTTATGGGGTCTGCCACCTCTCTTTCGCTTGAGGCCCTGCAAAGAAAATTACAATTCTGATCTGTTACACAGTAGACCAACATGCTAACTGACAGTGGGTGTGGGAGGAGCTGGCACACCAAGCTTAAGCCTGACCTGTTCATTCCCTCTTGCGGAGTCTTTGATTGCTACCTCACATACATAGTTACATGTAACAACAGTCCATTGGACACTTGAGGGTAGGAGAAAGCATGGACAATCAAAGGCAATTTGTAGGAGGAGCATGAGTGAGGATGGTCAAAACTGAGTTGAGCACCCGAAATTGCATTGAGAGAAAGGCACATGAGAGACAGGGGTAGCGCTGACGGCCGTACAGGGCAGTAAGTAAGTAAACACACAGTTGCTAACTACGCTTATTACTCTAACAGTGAAATTGGATCAATTACTAACTGACATGTAGCCAGTGAGACTGCAGGCCAAGTGGGCATAGTCTAACACGAAACTCCATAAAACATTGGCAATGAAAAATGCTGTTATACAAGAAGATGCTATTAAAAACCTGAAAGAATGTTTAATCCTGGAGTAGTTGTTAATTGGCTTTCAAACAACCCGACCCTGCAGATGGCTGTATTAAAATTGTGCCACAGCTGCTTAAATGATTATGTCCCTGCTTAATGGTACACAAGGGAATGATCACTGTATTTTCTTTGTTTAGGATCACTGGGTAGTTGTAGTGAATTATGCCATCTTGTGTACTGGTACAATAAACACAAACAAAACAACTTAAGAGGCAACTATATAAAACACTCAGCCTCGTGAAAAAGAGCATGCCATTTACACTATGTACAGTACTAGCAAGAGAAGGACAAGTTCAGTGTGGTACCTTTTTCTTATTATCTTCTTCATCATCATCATCATTGTCGTCGTCCTTGCCATGACAATCTGGTATAGCAGCATGAGGCACTGCATGATCAGCGTTTTTTTCACCCTCTGATAAAGTACACAATCTCTTGTTTCGGCTTCCACCCCTCTCTACAGAACTTTGGTCCTAAAATGATTAAATATGAGATAAGATTGAAAAAGGTTAAATATTATACACAAGCTGACTTCACTGACTACACAATTCAATAAAATTTAAAGTAGGCAACCGGTAGTTTGAGAGAAGATGCAGACTGTAAACAACAACAGGGGGGTTCTCGGGTCATGCTCCCTCAGTTGAAATCTGGAAGCCCTGAAATGCAACTTCAGGGCAGTGTTCTGGGCAGCAAACTAAGTACAAAAAAATGAAGCAGAACATGAAGGAAAATTTTTCATCAACAGTAGCATTTATGAACATGAAGGAAAATTTTTTATCAACAGTAACATTTATAATTATTATTTTAATAAAGAAATTTACAAGCCTAGTTTGTTTTCTCTTCCACAGTGTCGCATTGCTAGAACTCTGCCGTTTGAAAGCCCTGTTATTATTTTTTCTGAGCTGATATCCCAGAAGAGCAAATTATTTTACTTGAAATTGGATTAGTAAAAACAAAGTGATGTGTATGTTGGCAGTAATGCTTCTTTGTTGCATATTAAAAGCCACAATATACAGCCAGTATGAGAGAATAAGAAATCATCTCCACCTTGAAAGCATTAGGCATTCATAAGGCACATGTTTGTTGTCTTGAACAAGTTCATTAACTTCATTCACAAACTAACAAAAGTAGTGAACAATCTCCAAGCTCGTACATAATAATGCATTCATTTCAATAAAGATGCTTTAACACAAATTCAAAATGCAGTCAAAACGTAATGGAAGCACACATGGCACGGTCTTTTTTACACGTTCTTAATATGAATTTTGGTTCACTTATCTCTGAGTGGTACTGTATGTACATGAGTAAGGTAATTAAATAGTAACTTACATTTGAGTGTCCCAGATCTTTGTGTGGAACATCTACCTCCTCTTGCCTTATCTCTGGTACATCAGGATTTTTATCTACATTTTCTTTGGACACAGAAGAACGTCGTTTCCTTGCGGCTGACCCCAGATTTGGTAAGACTCGCTTGCGGCGCAGTAATGAAGGGGTTGCTCCACCATCAATAGGTTGCATCAGAGCATTGTCTGAGTTAGTGTTCTTATTTTGTACTTGCGATGGTTTTATAACTGCATCTTGTGCTACTGGCTGAGATCTTTGCTCAGTGTTTGCAAGAGTGGGAGAACTTGCTGGTGTTGAGGCTCTGGTTGACAAAGCCTGTTGGTTTCTCTCCTTGAGTGAGGGAGACTTGACGACATTACCACTTGATAAAGCTGCAAGGGAATGGATAAATCAAGAAATATGACCAATTTTAACAAGACAAATTTATACACCTTATGCAAATATGGTGGACCACTCAGTTGGTGCTGGGGATGAGTTGCATGAAAGTGAGGCTAGTTGAGCTTGGCATTTTGTTTTGACAAAGCTTCCCCCCAAAAAAGTCTTGTTTCATCGATGATCTGATGTGTTTTATTTTGCTATTCCTATGAGTTTTCGTGTTCTTGAATGCCACCAGAAGGGAGTAAAATCTTCCTCAGGAGAGAAAGGTTTTTTTTTTTTTCAGTTTCCCCTTTCGCCTCTGAGGAGAAAACATACAAAGAAGAGGAGTTCACGATCACCGAGGGAACTGTAAAAGATTGTTTGCTACATTTCAGGTTAGAAGGTCTTAGAAAATGTGTAATCAATTGCATTTAGCTCCAAGTCGTTGTCATTTGGCTCAATGCTTTCACTGGTTCAATGATGGGGACAGTTGAAGTTCATTCACTTGGTGATACCAGTGTTTCGTGCGATTCACTCTGAGTAAAGTGTTCTTCAACTTCTTGTTTGGAGACAGAGGATGTCTTTCATGCAAAGCTTTTCTTTACTTAGGGGAAGGTAGTGGCCACGAAAATTGTGTTGGAACACCACCAGACATCACATAAGCTCGTCTTTTAAATGATTTTCTACGATCTTCCAACCTGAAAATGTAGTGAATGAACTTCAGTTCCTGCGGCAATTGTAACTCACTTCCTTCATCTCAACAAATTGCATGGATCCACTATTTTCCCATACAGAAAAATGTTGGACAATTTCTATCCCTTTTCATGGCATTCAAGAACATAAAAACTTGTAGGCATAGCAAAATAAAACAGACCAGATCGTCGACAAAGCAAGACTTTTCTAGGGAAGCAATTGTAAAGAAAAAACATGGAGGTCCAACTAGCCTCACTTTCAAGCAACTCGTCCCAGGTGCCAACCAAGTGGTCCACCATATTTGCATTCGGTGCATGTTATCTAGAAAATAAGAAAACAATGTACACAAAAGAACACTGTTTTTAAAGATTTTGAATAGCAAGCTAATTTGGGATACTCTTCAAAAGGAGTGCTGTTAGAATATCTTCCCCTCAGGTGGTAAAAAATCATTCCTGAAGAGGATCTAGTGGGTAGGCCAGTTGTTGATCCACCCCTTACTTGGTCACAAACATTTATTTAGCACCAGAGAACTGTCAATTGGCTTTAAGCTATCCCCCTCTTTTTACCAGAAATTTATGGTTCATAAAAAGAGCCTTTCATAACACATAATGCTAAACTCTTACTGCTACTGACAACCATTTCGATTACTCCTTTCTTTCTCTATCTCCTGGCAAGATGCTTTCAAGATAATTTGTGAACCTAGCAGTATGCGGGATGCATGTCATATATGAATTTTATCATTATTCATATTAAGGTTGTAAAAAAGTACTTCATTGTAAACTTACCTGTGCTACTAACTGTATCAACATCTGATTGCCCATCTTGTTCGTCTAACGCCAACCTCCCTGACAACTGCTCATCGTTATTACTGGCAAGGTCTTGAGAAACCAAGTGACTTTCCTCATTTCCGCTAATCACACCAGACAAACTCTTAGCTTCAGATGTTGCTTTACCTTTACTTGTGGCATTTGGTCGAGAGCGGGGCACTGATGTGACAACTGGCTTAATGCGCGACCTTCTCAGGGATCCCACAGCAGGAGTGGAGGAAGACAAAGGAGTTGGTGTTTTGAATACTGTTGATTCAGCATCAGTTTGCTTTGATACAGAGTTGGACTCTACTGATTCGGAATTAGCCACCCCTGTAACAAAAAAAAGCAATTACAATGAATTAATCATTGATTAATAATAACCTAAAAAATATATAAAGAAAAGCTCGATCATTGGATTCAATTCGAAAATTTAAAAAATATACTTTAAGACTTTTGTGATTACAGCATTAACACATTTTCAAATTGAAAATTTCATATTATATGAAAGAGTGTACTTGTAAGAAAAAGCATTGCTGAAAAACTTAATGTTGGAGAATTTGAGACAGGAATATAGCTTTTGATTAATCACTAAATAATTAAGCTTTTGCATTTGAATATAGATTTCAAACCTCATGAATCAAATCAAACCACACGTTAGATGAGAACGTTTCCGCTTTAAAAGTCGCGGTTCTGTTAGATTACAAACTGCGTTTTTAACGAAATTTCTTAGCAAAGGTCAATGCTAGAGTGTTTTGGGAATCCTGTTTCGACGGGGAAACTAAATTACAAGCGTTTTTGAGCTGCGTCTCATACCAACTATTGTAAGTACAACTTGAAAATGTACACATTAAATTAGCTTTTATCTTTCGCTTAACACATTTATCTTTCCCTAATGTGAAGAACAAGGAAGGCAACCGACAAACCTTCCTCGACCTTGGACGTCGACTCATCCAGCTGCGACTCCACAGCCGGACTAGAACAAGATGCATTTCCTTCCGAGTTTGAGCTCGTAGAGGATGTGTTCTGCCGACTTCGACGAGCAGCCGAAAGAACTGGTTTAAAACGGTTTCTCATTCCACACAGCACGTCAGGTAATAGTTTAAAAGCAAACTGAAAGCTGCTTTTATGTTTTTTTTGCCTTCATTACGGAATTCGGGGTGGAAATTCTCTTGTGCTGATCAAGCAAAATCACTACACCGCTAACTTTTCTTCGTTGTTCATGTTCCGACGGTGTTTCGACGTCCATATTTTGCTTTCATGTAGAATACTGCTGACCCATAGATACCAGTAAGTAGGCTCAGTAAACCCAGTCCCTCTCCTAATAAAACTTTTAATCTCACGGCCAGGGTGGTAAAGGGTATTTTCGTGACCCGTGATCGGCCCTTTTTATTTCCTGTGAAATGTGAAATAGCCATTTTTTTTCCTCGTGAATCGTGATTTCCATAGTCGCAGTGAACTGTGATTTTCCAAAACGTTCTCTTTTATTTTCCGTGAAGCGTGAAATGACAATGTTGTATTTTTCGTGAATTATGAAAGGGCTGCTTTATCCGTGAAACGTGATCTATACCCCTCTTTACCACCCTCTTAGATCAGTCCAGTCACACCCTTTTTTATAAGAATATAGAGGCTGACATTTTCGAAATTTTAAGAATACGTTAAGAATAAACCCGAGACTGAGATTTTGTAAAGCATGTAAGTTTGCATGTTGAAAATTTGTAAATACAATACAGAGCTTCTCTGTGGGTACCCCGAGACTTTTTGAGCAGATCTTCGTTTTATGGATTGAAATCATTGCCTGACTGAGTAGTCAGTGTAATTCACAGCCGAAAAGTTATCTCCCTACATAAATAACTGCATAAATTTGTGAAAAGCAAAATAAATTACTAACAATATATATGGAAATTCTGGAGTGGATACAGGACCTAAGAGAAGGGGGTTCAAGATACGTACCGGCAAAGACACCTCCCTGTAGGGGGATTCGAGGGCATTTTCCCCCAGAAAAAGTTTAAAATTGAGATCCTAGCTTGGAATTGGGTTTCCCTCTTTCTGTGGCTAAGTCACCATGTTGCCAACTTTTTATTATTATTATTCAGGTGAACCCCCCTAGATCAGCCCCAGAAATTAAAGATTGTTTGGATTTGTTGCAGCATGAGTATTTTTGTAATTTGCTGCCTTGTAATCAGGCTTCCCATAGTTTCTTCGACATTTATCCATTTGGTAGCTAGGTGAAAAGTACCCTAGCCTGCGAACGCAGACGTATTTCTGGCTGTCGCTTGTCTCCGCCAAATATAACGTCTGCGAACTCGAGCCAGGAAACAATTTTTGTGATGTAGGAATTTTAAGCCAATCACAGTTTAGCTCAAGTAGCCCCAGAACTACTGCGTGAGATATTCGCTGCAAGGAGCACTCGAGTTTCATTCTGTCATGGAATCTGATTGGCCAAGGAGACACAACAATCATTACGTCACAGAAATCGTTTCCTGGCTTGGGTTCGTAGACGTTATTTTCGGTGGAGACAAGTGACAGCCGAAAATACGTCTGCATTCGCAGGCTAAAAGTACCCTGGGTACCAGAGGTTTTTTCTCGTGCGCGGCGGACAGAAATAATCACAAAGAGACATGACCGACAACAGAAACCGCGCAAGAAGAGCCTCTGGCATCCAGGGTAGATGAAAAGAGTTGACAGATATTTTTCCATTTTTATGCAATTTTATTATTTTTTATACTTTACATCTAAATTTTGGTCAATATTCCATCTTATTACGCAAAATTCTAAATCTTTTCTTCAATTTTGAGATCTACATTCTTTCAGTAGTAATCATCGCATCTTCAATTTCTCCAGAAATACCCATAGTGGGACTTAATACAATGACTACAATTACAAGTATAAAATTCTTCCTTTCTCTAAATGGCTAAACTGGCAACAAAAGAAACAAAACCAGCACTAACAGTTTTAAGGGAAACGCTGCATTGTCCAAAATTTGTTACCTGTAATCATTTAAGTTTCATATCACTATGAATTGCCAAACAACTGTTTTCATTGTGTCTAAAATTATTATTTATTGGCAATTAAATTTTTCAATTTCACTAGAAAATAATTTATATAATAATAATAATAATGATAATAATAATAATAA